GGGCGGATAGGGTCTCGTGCCCGGGGGCGCTTCTGCGGCCGGCCCCGCCGGCGGGGGCGGGGGGAGGGGGACCACGCGGGGGAGCCGAAGGCGAGGCGAGGGGGCAAGAACACGGCGGGCGAGACAAAGCAGAACAGAGAGCGTGGAAGCCCCGTCTGTGAGAAGTGAGCGGGAGGGGGGAGGGGCGCGCACGAAGGGAGGGCAGGATTCGTATGGAGCACGACGGCAAGGCAGGGAAGATAGAGGGGAGGGGAGGGGTGAGGGGGGGACGCAGAAGAAGCAGAAGAAGAAGAAGAAGAAACTGCATAAACATACAGTGTCGAAGGCCCGCGCGGATTTCTTGGGTCGGCGCTGGAGGCGTCGCCAGAGGGGCCCAGCACAGATCCAAGAAATCCGCGCGGGCCTCCGAATGTGTACGTTTGTGCCGTTGTTCCTGCCTCCGGGGGTGGTCCTGCACCCGCGTGTCGGCCGGCTTCAGACGACAAGAGCAGGAGAGGGGAGAAAGGGGAACCCGTCCGAGGAGCGGAGAGGGCAGGAGAGGAGGGGAGAGCGCAGAGGCATGCCGTGGAGGAGAGGGAGAGGGAGAGCGGGGAGGGGAGGGGAGAGGCGGTCCTGCACCCGCGTGCCCGCCAGCATCGCCACGGCCGCCTCCTGCGTGGCCGCCGCCCGGTGCTGCACCCACGCGCCCGACCCCGTGCAGGCCAGGGCGAAGAGCGTCAGGCCACGCACGGCGGACATGCTCGGGACGCTTTGGGGTGCCCGCTCTCGGGGGCCCTGCTGGAGCCGCTCGCACTCCACGCCTGCGCCGACGCTGCGTCGAGCGTCCTGTCGCCTCGAGTCGCACTGGCGTCGAGGGAGAGCCGAGCCAGAAGTCGAGCTGCTAATAAGGTCGAGCCAGAGTCGAGCAGGTCCGTCGGGTGGAGGAAGGTCCCCAAGAGAACGAGCACCCAAGGACTGGTCTCGGGCGAGTGAGGGCAAGGAACTGTCCCACACCCCGTGGCGTCGTGGCAACAAATCGCGACGGACGGTTCTATAGGGAAACCACATGCGAACCCTACCCCTACCCCCACGAATGGGTGAGGATGGGGTTCACTCCGTTCGGGAGCTCCCGAGCGAAGTGAGCCCCACCCTCCCCCTCAGAAATAGGAGGTGGGGGTAGGGTCCGCAGGTGGCCCCCTGTTCGTGGCAATCTTCAGCTTCTGGGGTCCCTCGCCGGACTCCGGGGCCGCCAAAAAAATGGCTCGGTATGAGGAACCGTCCCGGGGGGAATGGGTCGAGATCTCCGGGGATCCGCGCTGCAAAGAAGTTACGACGTCAGGGGGTCCGGAGTCAAAGGTAGAGTATTACGGAAGACGTGCGTGAAGTCCCTGAGCCCAGGTGTGCCACGGGAAGTGGAGAGGGCAGAGGAGGAAAGGAGGGGGAGGGAGGGAGGGGGGAGGGGAGGGGAGAGGGAGGGGGATCAGAGGGGGAGGAGAGGCGGAGGGAGCGGGGGAGGGCGAGGAGAGGAGGAGGGGGAGGAGGGGGGTGACAGAGAGAGAGAGAGAGAAGGAGACGCCGGGGTGGAGCGTAAGCAGAGGCAGGAGGAAGGACGAAGATGCTGGGGAGGGAAGGGGGGGAGAGGGAGTAGTCGGAGCAGGAGCCAGCGGCGCTGCCGGTACCGATCAGACCACACGGAAGAGAAGGCCTTCGCTGCCGCCGTCCTCGGTCGGCCTTGCTCGGGGCTTCGGGAACCATCACACTTATGATGCGATGAAGATAGTCGCGCCCCGTGCGCGTGGGGGGCGCACGGGGCTTGCCAGCGGACCGCAGCTGGTTATCAGCGATACCCCCGCAGTGCCCGCAGACCATGCATGCGAATGAGCATGAGAATAAGAGAGGTGAACTTGTGTGCAGCCAGCCCCCGCAACGTGGATTCGGCCCCCCCTTGAGGGGGGACGCGATGATGCCGTCTACGTTGACTGGAGCAGAGCGAGCAGTCTTCCGCCACTCGGCAGCAGTGGCCCGCGTGGCCGGCCCGGAGCACCTAGAGCATTTGCGCGTACGCTCCGAGAGCCTGCGGGCCGACATGAGGGGGGCGAGAGCAGCGGCAGAGTGGCGGGGAGTGGGGAGAGGGGGGGGCCCCTCTCGTTCCTATCCCTCGCTTCCACAGCAGGTGGGGAGAGGGGAGAGCAGCAGCAGAGTGGCGGGGAGGTGGGAGCCCCTCTCGTTTCTATCCCTCGCCTCCACAGCAGCCACCTCCGCTGCAGCAAAAAAAAGTCTAGCGCAGCACGCCGGTGGCACACTCTGACAGGCATGACCTTGTGGGAGCGCCTTGACGCAATGTCATGTTCGCCTTGATGACTGCGCGTGAAAAGTACAACTACCTAGCTACATGATTTATGTTGCATGAGCTCAGCAATCTTGGCCCACAAATCAGCACCTGGGCCTTTCGGACTCAAGTAGGCCTGGGTAGACCAACCACCTGCCAGAGGCTCGAAGTCTGCAATATGCAGCACGTGCCCCCGAGTGACAAACAGAGCTAAATGAGCGCTTCAAATTCCCCTCGAGCGACTACTGGCCTGCGCACGCAGACGGGACCGAAGATGGACGACTCTCCACCGCCAGTGGGGCAAGGGAGGAAAGATTAGCCGTAGCGAGTCCTACACGGCGCGACCTGGACCACCTCGAGCGTGGACCTCCCGCAGCGCCCTCTGAAACCCGAACAGGACACTCCCCTCCGGCCCACGTTTTTCTGCGTGCGGCGCTGGCGTGTTCGATGCCTCCCTGTGTGGCGGCAGGGGGGAAAGGAGGAAGAGGATGAGGAGGAGAAGGCTTCTTAGAAGGAGGCTGCTTCGCGCGACCCTTACACTCATGGATGAGGCCCGCGCCTTCGGAAAAAAAGACTCCTAAGAAGCCTTCCCCCCTCCCCCTGCCCTCCTCTGCACGTGGCTGACCCTTGGCGCCCACACGAGGGAGAGCGTTCGCCACATGCGCACGCGCCAGACGCGTGCTCGGCACCTTCTGCGCGTGGAGACTCCAGCGCCCCCTATGTTCGACAGCCCGCTCGGCGCCTGCACGCGTGAGAGCACTCACCACATGCGCACGCGCCAGGCGCGTGTTCGACACCCACATTCGCGTGCGAAGCATGCGGCGCCCCGCACGTGTACCCCTCGGCGCCTACACGCGTGGAACCGCGCGCCAAGCGGGCAGGCACAAGACGCGTGTCCGATACCCCCCCTCCACACGAGTACACGTCGGTCGGAAGAAGTGGGTAAAAACATGAAGCAGGATGGCGGATTAAGTTGATTGGGTTCAGGCCCCCCCAGAGAATGACAAAACACAGCGAAAGCGTGTCGATTCTTGAAGTAGGAAGGCGCTTGAAGCAGATTGGGATCTGGGAATCCAACAATACCTACTTTCAACGACCAGCGTGTATCTTCACGTGTGGTGAATCTGACGCCCCCATGTTCAATACGCCGCTCGGCGCCGACACGCGTGAGAAGAGGTACCAAAAGCACACGCGCCAGACGCACACTCGACGTGCCCCCTGTCCGCACAAGGACTTCAACGCGTGAAGATTCCGCCAGCCCGTTCAAGCCACCCCTGTGGTCCAGCGCCGACGACCCGACCACCCAAAGGGATCTCCAGGCTCACGACCTTACCGGAAAAAAGGAGGGAGGCAAGGTGTCAGGAAGAGGGGGGATGGAGGAAGGAGGGGTCAAAGGCAGGCGACCTCAAAAAGAGACGAAAACATCGACGACAACGACGACGAGAAAGAGGCGAAGAGGAAGAGGAAGGGGACGAGGACGAGGACGAGGACGAGGAAGGCGAGGGACGAGGGGGAGGAGATCCCGGCCTCTCCAGGTCACCGCACCACTGCCATGGAAGCAAGACTCGCAGAGTCGCCTCCCGCTCGTCTGGGCAGCGGGCCCTCGCTTCGGTGAGATGGGCACCCCTCCCGGCGCGGCCCGACCTGTGGTGCGAGGCAGGCTCTCGGGGACGGGCAGGCGGGGGTCGCACGGAACGGCGGCACGGCCAGGCATGGAAGTCCGATCCGAGGGGGTCACCGTGCCACCCGTCGTGCAGACACCGGGGGGGGGGGGGGCCAGCGGAGAGAGCCACGTTGACAACTGGGCTCAGAAAGCCCAGGGTTCGCGGGGGGCTGGCTTCCTTCTAGAACAGCCGAATCCCTTCCGAAAACCCTCCGGGAAGGGTTCCTGGAGGCTTTTCGAAGGGTTTCGGCGTGGATTTTGAAGGGTTTTCGTCGCTTCGGGGGGAAGCCAGTCCCTAGCGAACCCTAGGCTTTCTCAAACTAGACAGCGCGTGTAACGCTGCAGATAGTCTACCCGGAGCGCCTCGCATTCGAGGCGGCACGCTTGTGTACGTACCATGTCGGTCGAGTCTAGCCGCCGCTCACCATGTATGCCAAACATGTCTTTTGTGTTCCATCTCAGGGCAATCAAATCCGGGGTCAGCAAATCGCCTGAGGTCTGCAAATGTACGGGGAAGACGATTGAAGAGAGACATCTGCCCTCAAGTCCTTAAGCGGAGGAGCAGTAAGAGAAGCATGAGGAAGAAAAGGAGCAGGACGACAAAAGAAGGAGACGGGAGGAGGAGAGACGCGGGAGAGGAGGAAGGAAGAGCAAGGGGGATGGAAAATGAGGGAGGGGGAGGGATGGAGGAGGAGGTCGGGGAGAAGGCGGGGGTGGAAGTGGGGGAGGAGGAAGAGGACAAGGCGGCGGAGAGGCGATCAGGAGGGGGATGACGAGGAGACGAGGACAAGGAGGCGGCGAAGGGGGAGGGAGGAAGAGACGGCGGGGAAGAGGGAGGGGGAGGAGGAGAGGGAAGCGCGGGGGGGGAGGGGGGGGGGGGGGAGGGGGAGATGGGGGATGGGGCACGGGGAGGCGCGAGGCGGGGAGGTTGAGGTGATGGGGAAGGCAAGCAGAAGAGCAAGGGCAGCGCCCAGCTCCGCCCAGCGCCCAGTCAGAAGTAGGCAGCCCACGGGACCGACCCAGCACCGCTCACGCCGCTGCCGCTGCCAGGGAGGCGGTCGCGGCCGCGGCCGCGGCGAAGATTCCGAGGCCGGCCCGGAAGGAGCCGCTGCGGGCGGCAGCGGTGCCCTCGTTCCCGGAGGCCGAGGACACCACGAGCTCCTGGGCGTGTCCGTCGGACTCGCTGCCGACGCGCATCACCACATACCTGCCATGGTCGGCAGCCTCCAGCGCGGCGGTCTTGATCTGCCTGCCGTTGGCGTCGTCCAGGCCGAGGAGGTAACTCCCCGCGCTCACCTTCACCGACGCGCCGGACTTCAGAGCTGCGGACTGCCTCTGGTGCCTGCTGCGCGCCTGCTGGATCTTCAAGGATCCAGCCTCACTGCCAGAATACGCGTCGACAACTGCCACCTGCGCCCGCTCGTCGGAAGAGGTGAACATGTGAGAAGCGAAAGCAGCGGACATTGTGTCGTTGCTGCGGTGGTACGGGACCAGCAGCAGGTTCGCGGAGACGTAAGGCAGACCAGTGACGCGGAAGGTCCCCACGCTGAGACCACCCAACTTGAAGTCGATGCGCTCGCTCTCCTCCATGGGCAGGGCGATCAGCTTGCATCCCTTGTATGGGAGAGGCTCCTCCGTGAGCTTGGCCTTGTTGTTCACCGTGTAGATGCTGAGGGGCTTGTGGTCCGCGTACGCGTTGCAGATGGTCAGGTTGTGCGTGGTGACAACGTCGTCCTGTTGCTGCAAACTGCTGCTGCTCCCCTTCATCGTACCCCCCTCCTCCACAATGAGAGGCGAATCAGGAGCAGGAAAGAGATCAGAAGATGAAGGAGAAGAGAAGAGAGGAGAGGGGAAGGAGAGAGGAGGAGAGAAGAACGGAAAAGGAATAAAGGAGATGGGACAGAGGAGAGGAGAGAAGAGAGGGGATAAAGTAAGAGAGAGGAGAGAGACAAGCTAGGTACGCTCGCACCAAATCTGACATCCTATCCCTCCCTCCCATCCCTTCCCAGCGTGCTGATTGTTTATCTATCCGTGGACGCATGTCATAGCCGACCTGTAACTCCAAAACAAGAACCCATCTTGTTATGCTCAATTGGGCACCATCCGAAAATGAGACCCACGCAGAAACAGGAGCACCGCTTTGAAGCACCGAAGAAAATCGGACTACAAAAAAGACGAAGCATCACTTGTGTCCAATCCTGCGTGTGGAAAACAATACGCGGAGAGAACCGGCTTCCTTCTGGACGAAGTCAGGGGAGAGAGGAGAGTACTCATAATGAGCGATTGTACTGTTACTGCAGGCTGCTACTGCTGTTGCTGTTCCTCCTCGTCCGCCTGCTGCTGCAGTGGGAGAAGGGAATCGGCTCATGAAAGGCGGAGAGATCTCCCTCAACCCCTCCTCCTCCTCCTCCTCCTCCTCCTCCACCTCCTCCTCCTCCTCCGCCTCCTCCTCCTGCGCACAACCTGGCGAGCGGCAGAGTCTGTCGCTCGTCAGCCAGCTGGAACCGCACGTGGCCTAAGGCGCCCTTTACGTACAACCACCGTAGGCCACGCATGCGGACGGAGACCGCTAGCGTCCCCGGTACCCCATCGGTCTGTACGGTCCCCGCGGCGGCCGCAGCTACAGCCATGGCAGGGACCTTCATCCGCAAAAGGGGGCAGGGGGACGCACTGCGGCATAGAGGAACAGACGATCCTGCGACAGCACTTGGTAGACTTGACCATCGAGACGAAATTCTCGCTTGCTGGCCAGTCTGGTGAAAACCTTCCGCCCCCAATCCGTCGCCATGGGAGGACAGAGGACAACAAGGTTCGTGACACGAGCGAATGCAGCGAAGACATCCAACCACAAGCGGACCGTCTTTCAGCTGAATCTTGGCAAGGGCATGCAATCTGGACCCCTCTCCAAGCTTCCTCTGAGCAGCTAACGCACGACTCACCACATCGCTGGGAGGGGGTCCTTGACGAGGATGAACTGAGGCACAGGCGGCTTGCCTCGCTTGTGACGCTAGGGACGACCACAATCGTTCAAGCCATCACCGAGACGTGCAATCCAAGAGCCCCACGCTCTTACAACTTTGACTCGCGCCGGCAACTGCTCGCGCGCATCAGAAGCAAACCGAGCAAACGCAGCAGCACTCTTGGCTGCAAGGTCCGCCTTCGTGTTGCCATACCTGTGGCGGGCCGTAGTGCGTCTGAGCTGGACATCCACCACGGTCGCGTGACCTTTGACCTTAAAAATCTCGAACCCATCCCCCCAGCCATCCACCAGACGCCAGAACTCCATCCAGAGATGGGCGCGCGCGGCAACACAAGCAGCGGTGGCCACACGGCCACGCTCATGATAGCCGTCGACTACGAGGGCTGAACCACTGGAAATGCGCACAGGTGGCGCCGCAAGACGCAAAAGGTGAATGACTGCAATGAGCTCCGCGGCGTAGATGCAGTAGAGCGTGTCAAGCACAAGTCCTGAACAGAACGCGATCACCTGGTTAAGATCAGGATGACGCGCAACGCACCCCCTGGCCTGCAATCGCAAGATTCGGATGCTCTGCTTCGAAAACCGATCCGTCTGGATACACATCGCCAGCGAAGCAATCGGGGCCTCCAAGCCCCCAGCTGACAGGCTGCCCAGGCGGCGGCTTCTCAAGGACAGGGAACGGCACAAGACAGCGCTCAGCAAAGACTAGGGCAAGTGACGACTGCATCGCTGCCCGAGCCGCGTTGGCTCTGAAGGCGGGCGCGCCCTCGAAGCCGCCTAAGCGGACACACGAACAGCGCACATGCAGAAGCGCGCCCTCAGCAGAGGGGCACAGCAAACAAGCGGGAGCGGCATCGCAACCCTCGGCCCACTGACGCTTCTGTCGCCACTGGCCCCCAACAACGGTGCTACGCAGGTGGCCTCTCTGCTGGGCCGTGAGCTTACTCTTGCTGCCAAGCAAGGCCTTCAGGGGGCTCAGGATCAAACCATTGTCGAACCCAGGCTGATCGAGATGGTCGGCAACTCTAGCGAACTGCCAGCGCCCCACAGCACGAAACAAGAGCTCCTGGATAGTGACGGGGCAGTAGTCGGAGGGCTGATGACGGCCCCATCAGGCCAGATCCAGTAGGAAGCCGAAGTCGCAGTGATGCCCACACGCTTCAAGAAGGCCCACAGGGCACAGAAAGGGGCCCCTGATGGAGGACCAGGGGTGCTCCAGCCCAGACAGGCGCCCATGAGCCTGACGGAGGCCAAAGTCCAAAGCACCCCTGGGAGCCAAGCAGCCACAGAGCGTGAAGGAAGGCCTTGACGGGGAGCCAAGTGGCCCTGAAGATGGGGCCCAATCGGGGCACAGGGGACAGGAGAAGAGCCAGCGTACGTGATTTGCCATCCAGATGATGGCCCTGCAACTTACCAGCCGCGCCTCGACGGACCTCCAGCTCCTTGCCATTCGTACCCATGACAGGCGACCCAAACAAAACCGAGGCCTCCAAAGACGTCCGAGCCATGCGCCCAAGCACGCGGCGAGGAGGCCTGGAGCCCTTCAGGAAGCCCATCCGAACCAACATCGACCTCATGTCAGAAACACGCCCACGGACCGCGACACGGCTGGCGATCAACCCCGCACCGTAGGCCACGCCGAGGTTGCGCTCAGACCGAACAGGAAGGGGCTGGAGGCTCTTCAACTTACGAGCGATGGAATTTCTCACCACCGACGTTTTCCCGAGAACCCTGGACTTGCCCAGCGCGGTGCGCAGGTCGACCCTGCTCAAGCACTGAGAGAGCAGCTTACCCGCCGCATGCCGCCAACGACTCGCGACCCCGCGCCCCAGCGCATGGGGCCGATGTCGACTACCTCGACCGACAACTGAACTGCCGGCCGCGCAGCCTGCACAGCACCCAAAGGGCCTAGCAGAACGAGCTGCAACATGCACGCGGCCATTGTACACCCTGGAATAATCGTTTGTTCGACACGCAAGCGGCTGCCAACCTCACCCCCGACGTCGAGGACCCTAGGAGACCGATAAATCTGAACCAGCAAGTGCAATTGCCCCATCGGGAACGCAGTAGCCGCCGCAGCGGCGATCAAGTGAACGTGCTGGACCAACTCGAAAGCCTTCTTAAGATCTAAAGAATGGTAGCACGAGACCTGGCTTTGCACGTGGAATGCCCCGACCAGGCCGCCTGGATCCAGACGCATTTGTCCGAGGACTTCCCGTGGGTGGACAAGAAAAAGGACCGAAAACTGGCCTGCTGCCAGGCTCTCACAAGAGGACGTCTCAAGCGACACTGCACACGAGCCAACACAGGTAGAAGGCCCAGGGGCCTGACCCCCCATCCCTTTTCAGGATGAAGACAATGCGATTCTACATGACAGGCCACTCACGCTCATGCACAACATGGCGAATGATATCACACAGCGCCTCAAGAGAACAGCCGGCGGAAACAGAAGCGAGCGAGGCTGAATCTGATTGAAACCAATACTAGTGGTCATCTTGAAACTCCCGATAGCTCCGATAAGCTCGGCCACCGAAGGCCGCGGAGGAGAAGCCCCAAGCTCAGGCCACTGGAGAGGGGCGTGTCGGGCGTCAACCTGCCACCACTTTTTCCAGTCAGCCTCGAGAACGTCGGTCGACTCGATCGAGGCACAGGGCCAAAAGGCCCCTTGATGAAGAGAATCGGGCTGCCACGGGACATGGAGGTTCGAAAACTCATGCGAAGCAGACATGCACCCCGACGTGCGTGAGTCAACCCATTCGTTCCATTCCTTCTCCTTGGCCCGAGCAAAGACGGCGCGCATCCTCTCGGCCTCGCCGTCGGCCATCTCGGCCAGGCAGGCGGCGCCCAGCGAGGGGGGAAAGTGAAAGCGCCTCAGCATCGCCGCCCACGCGGCGAAGTCGGCTGCGCCAGGCAGCCGGCAAAAACGAGAAAGACGGCCCGCCGCAGAAACGAACAGAGACCTGAAAGAACCCGTCGGCACACGGCTGACGTCAGCCAGCAAATTACGCACCTTGCGCCACCAACAGACGAGAGGAGTCAACTTTGGAAACCTCGGAGGCGCAGGCTTGGAAAGGGTTTTCCAAAGGACACGGAGAGGCATATCCCTGCCCACAAAGTCAGCACACTGGTCCCTCGAAATCTGAAAGACATAAAGCCAGTGGGCCTCGGCGGCCCTAAGAAAGGCACCCCATCTGTCCTGAACCAGGAGGTCAGGGTCACTATATAATTGCCCAACGTGCTCCCACGGATCGACCTGAGGGGGGGGGGGGGGGCCCAAGGCAGGCAATGGGGAGCTGGGTGGGGAACTTCTCGGGGACATGCGCACACCGACCCGTGCACACCGGCTCGACCGACGGGGCGACCAGCCTGACAGGAAGGTGAGGAGAGATGGGAACATTGCGCAACACTTCAGCCCTGGCCAGACCTGCAATGTGGCGCGAGACCACTAAAAAAAGGCGATGCAACCCAAGGCTGGCCTGCACGCGCCACGCTCAGGAGCAATCACCACCGCGCCCATGGCATCGACCCAAGACGCTTTCCCCAGGTCATCCACGGTGAAGTTCCAGTCGTCACCGATGATGAACGGGAGCCCAGCTGTCTTCGATCTAGCACCCACTTTGGACAAGATGGACCAATTCTGCTCATTGGTGCCAACCGAGCGCACGAGGTACAAGTGGACAATCACGAAACCGGATTTGACCATGCCGCCGACGCGATGCATGGACGCTCGAGCAGGAACATTGTCCACATCAAATTGAGCCAAGGGCACAAGACCGACACGCTTCACCGCAGCCGTCACCAAGCCCCCTGAAGGATTGCCCAGCATAGGAGTAGCAGCACACGTAGAGGCAGACCAGCCAGCCATGCGCATCTTGGCCTCCAATGAACAGGGAACCGACTTCAGCAAACGAGACTCCTGCAATAGCAGAACATCACTGCAAATAGACTCCGACAAATACGCGTCCAAGCCAACCTGCCCACCAACGTTGGCCGTGCAGAACGACCACTCCTTGCGCTGGCGGCTAGGAACACTTCTGAGCCACTGGCGCAGGGTCGATGGGCGCGAGCTTGAATTTCTTACTGGCAGCATCATGGAGGCCACCGATGATGTCGTCACACTGCTTCCGCGTGAGTCCACGTGCCGCGAGGATCTTGTCCCAGCCCTCATCAGTGGCGAGGCGCTGCTAAAAACCAAAGAACTTGCTAGCAACGTGCGCATCGCCTTCTGCGCTGTGCGAATCCCGCCCCGCCCGCCCCGAGTCGCCCCCCCCACCCCACCCCACCCCCACCCACCCACCCACCCCACCCCACCCCCCACCCCACCCAACCCAACCCACCACCCACCCCCACTAGGATCGAGCGCGACAGGCGCAGCCCCTTCCGCGAAGGGGGAAGCGAACGAGGAGGCTGCAGCACGCGCACCTTCTCCAAATATGGCGCGCGCTGCTGCCTCAACGGCGAGGACGGGCTCAGGCCCAGGGGCGTCGACCATCTGGAGCTCATCCTCGTCCTCGCTTGCGTCATCATCACTGGGTTCATCACCAGCAGGCTGAAGAAGACCATCACAGCGAGCGCAGCGATGCCGCCAGCTTCGACGACAAGGACTCGAACTGCACGAGCAGCGCGAAGCCAGGGCCGTCGGGACCGGCAGCAGCCACAGCGCCACCTGCACGAGGTCGACCTTCCACTGGTAGCTTGCTGACCGCCGCCCAGGCCGCCGCAGTCTTGACGCCAGCAGCCCGCTCTTGAGACTGGAGCTGGCCGAGCTTGGCCTTTGCAGCAACCAACTCCAAGAACTTCTCATGCACTTCCTTCTCGAGCTTGTCAGCCTTTGCCTCGGCCTGCACAAGCTGGCGCTTGAGCTCAGCATGAGCCCACTGACTGTGCTTCGCAACCGCCTTGGGCTCGCCCGCCGCCAGCGCTCGCTGCGCCGACACACGGGCCCGCTGACTTGGGCCAACAAGAGACCTGCTGGCCTCGAAATCAGCACTGGACATCTTGACAAACACGGCCAATTGAGACTCGTCGAGCAGCTCAGGCTTTGCCTTCGCCACCTTGGGAGGCCCATTGGCCCAGTCCCCTTGAGGACCGCGCACAGGGGGAGAACCAGGAACAGCAAGACATTCAACACCACACTTATAGCAGTGCTTCTTCCATGCGAAGTTCGTATTGAAACCACATGTTTTCTTAGGACAGCACCAGACATCGCCACGACCGAGACTGCCCATGGAGGAGGAAAGAAGCGAGGAGCGCCACCGCGCGTGAGGGCTGAAACCTCACTACAGTGATCGGACTCCAAGAGACTGTGGAAAGCTGTGGGGCCGCAAATCCCCTTGCCCCAAAAAGAAATCGCGTCTGCTTGAGCAATGCCTCCGGACTTGAGCCAAAATGGCTATGCATCCTCCTCCACCTCCTCCTCCTCCTCCTCCTCCTCTTCCTCCTCCTCTTCCTCCTCCTCCTCCTCCTCCTCATCATCATCATCATCATCATCCTCCTCCTCCTCCTCCTCCTCCTCCTCCTCCTCCTCCTCCTCCTCCCCCTCCCCCTCCTCTTCCATTCCTTTTCCTTAAAAATAACTTCTCCCTGTCGCACCCCGAGGCAAGTTTCTAGGGCGGGCCCGGCGTTTCGCCTGAGACTTCCTCACCATTTATGACCCGAAAGCAAAAACTTGGCAGCAGCTTCACAGATGGAGGGCGGGTGGCTTTCAAGATGTGGCTCTCGCCTGCGCCGCGCACATCCGCCTTAAACAATTGCAAAAAGCTTCACGGATTGAGGGCGACTGGTTCTCAAAATGTGGCACTCGCCTGATCGCCGCGCACATTGGTCTTGCAAAGACTGGGAGAGATTGACGGATTGAAGGCGGCGGCTCCTTTTCAAAACGTGGCTCTCGCCTAGCGCCGCGCATGTCATGTTCGGCTTAAAAAATGCACGACTTCACAGATTGAGGGCGGGTGGTTTTCCGCATGAGGCACCCGCTTTGGCGCCACGTACATTCGTTTTACACATGTGCAACAGCTTCTCAGATTGAGGGCGGCTCCTTTTCAAATTGTGGCTCTCATCTTAGGACTGCGCACATTCGTTCATATGATTTACAAAAATTTCACAGATTCCCACGATCAACGTACCAGGAATTGTACTTCGGAAAGATTTAGAAAAATGCGGGTGCACCGGTTACGTTGATTCGCGGTGTTGAACTTACAGGGATCGCGTTCTGGCACGATTCAGGCGCGTCAAGACGCAACAGTCAGGTTGATCCGTGGCGTTGGAATCCCGAGAAACATATTTTTGGTATGCTTCAGAATATTCAAACGGTTGTCTTCAGACTAGGCAGCTCCCTCAGTGGAGATGAACCGTTGGAGGCGCATATGAAGAGGCAGCTTGGAGGGAGGGTTTATTCCAACATCGTTGATGTTTCTTGGGTTTACACTGGTCCTCCTCCTCATCGTCCCCCCTCCTCCTCCTCCTCCTCCTCCTCCTCCTCCTGCTCCTCCTGTCCACCCTCCTTCATCACCTCCTCCTGCGGGCGGAGGCGCCAGCCTGCATCTAGAGCCGTGGGCCAGTTTAGCGCGCGAAGCCATGAAAAGCAAAACACAACTGTGTGCTGCTCTGCTGCTGACTCCGCTGCCCTGCTTCCCCGCCACTCTCCACAAGATTCGCGTCCCCGGACCTTTCAACCGACAACGCTCCAAAAACGCTCAAATCGCCCAGGCCTTTTGGTGCTGGCCTCACCCAGGCTCGAGAGAGGAGAAGCATGAGCAAGAGAGGGAGGAGGGAAATAAGGAGTGGACAGGATGGGAGAGGATGAGGGGAGGGGATTGAATAGAAGTAGGGAGGAGAGGAGAGGAAAGAAGAGGGCAAGAGAGGAGAAAAGGACAGGAAGGGAGAGGTGGTCCTGCACCTTAGTGCCCGCCAGCATCGCCAGAGCCCGCTCCTGCGTGGCCGCCACCTGGTGCTGCACCCACGTGGCCGCCCCTGTTGAGGCCAGAGCGCAAAGCGTCAAGCCTCGCAAGACCGCCATTGACACTGGTTTGACTAAGAGAACAGTAGCTGTCAGGGTAGAGTACAAAGACTGCCAGGACCTCGAGCCCAGGTGGGTACGGCGGCGGAAAATGGAAAGAGAAGGAAGGGATTGGGGGATTGAAGGGACTGGGGACGGAGGGAGGAGCAGCTGCAACTGGAGAGAGGACGAGAAAGAGAAGAACGGAGAGGGAGGGAGGAGATGCGGTGGAGGGGTGCAGCAGGACCTGAACGATTGGATCGCAGCAGGGGGGCGCCCGTACGAGGCACCCCATCAGGCTTAGGTCGGGCATGCCCTCCTACAGGCGGATTTAGGACGAAAATGTTAATACAAAAAACAAAAAAGAAACTCCAAATGAAAAAATCCAGATGTTCAAAAGAGCAAGAAAAATCGTCCCCAGGCTGTTGTTTGAACTATTCTTGGGCATCTCTCCTGGAGAGGGGCATGCCCGACTTGACACTGGACCTGCACTCCGGTTCCAGAAGACGGCACGACTGCTCGGAGACTGCTGCGCTCCCCTCGTGGGTCGTTTGGAGGAGGCGCGATCGAAATCTCGTGCACGTCCTACGGCTTGGCACGCCTTCGGCCAGGAGCACTCGAGTGGGAAACGTGGAACCACAGAGCCGCAGGAGGCGGAGAGGGACGCAGGGGGAGGACGAGGACGACGGGGACGAGGAGGGGGAGGGAGGGGTGCCTCCAGAAGAGCGCAACAAGCCTGGCCTTCATGTTTGCCTTGCGTCAAAGGGTGCCTCCAGGAGGTGTAAGGAGCAAATGGAGGCGGGCAAGTAGGGAGGAGAGAAGGGGGGATGAACGGGGAAGAAGGGATAGAAGCAGAGAAGGAAGGGGATCCTCCCCCGTCCCCCTCCTCCTATCTCGAGACTGCCGCACCGCTCAACGCTGTGCTTCGTGCCAAGCCCCGCAGCGTGAGCCCTCATCCCGTACATAGTGAGCGCGCCTCGTCTCCGTCGTCGTCGTCGTCGGCGGCGGCGGCGGCGTGTGGTCGTGATGCGTGCTGCTCTGCTCGGGACGTGCCTCCCGTGTGCACCGGCGCAGTGACCACCACAGCCATAGCAGCAGCAGCAGCAGCAGCAGCAGCAACAACAACAACCATCACCACCACCACCACCACAACAACGCTAGCGACGATCAGCGATCAAGTGCAGCAGGAGAGAAGCATCGATTAGTGTTATCGCTGCAACCGCTGCTAGTAGTGCTAAAACAACGATAGCGACGATCAGCGATGAACTACATCAGGAGAAAAGCACTGGTGGAGAAAAGCACTGATCGTTGTCGTCGCTGGCACCGCTGATAACAGCGATAACGCAACGATAGCGACGATCGGAGATGAAGCCTTGCAGGAGAAGAGGCCCGATCGTTGCTATCGCTGTCACCGCTGAAAACAGCGATAATGCAAAGATGGCGACGATCGGCGCTCAAGCCTTGGAGGAGAAGAGCACCGACCGTTGCTATCGCTGTCGTCGCTGATAACACCGATGAGACAACGATGGTGACGATCGGCGATCAAGCACAAGAAAGAATGAAGCACTTATTGTTGCTATCGCTGTCGTCGCTGCCATCGTTGTCACCATCCCTTATCTTTTCCCCTATTCCTCTCTCCTTCTCTCTCTCACTCTCTCTCGCGCTCTCTAGACCTGAAGGGCAACGAAAGGGGGATAACCAGGGATAGGGGGGGAGAACATCGACCTGGAATCGGCGGTACATCGCCGATCGATCGGTGACGGCCCCCGATAGTGGATCCGCACATTCCTGGGCAGGCTGGAGCTCTCGGGGCCCCCACTGGCGATCAACGGGCGATGGGAGGTCGACGCATCCCCCCCTTACGCCTAAAAGTCAACCCGCATAGCAGGGTTGGGCAACCTTTTCCAGGGGTACCCTTGCATCCTTGCACCCTCGGTCCATCCTTGGCCACTCTCGCTGGCCGCGCCCCGCTCGAGAAGCGTCGACATGGGCGCCCGATGCCCTTTTGCACCTTTATCGCGCATCTTTACTATAGTCCAAAATCCAATATAAAATGACAACGTGCCTTTGGGTCTCCCCCTTGTGGAAGAAGATCTCCCTCCAACAAACCCACCTGTGAGAGAAGAAGCGATAGCGGGAAAGAAACATACTATGGCGGGAAGGGGATCGGGGACAGGGAAAGGGAGAGGGAGGAGAAGCAAAGCAGAGCAGGACGGAGAGGAGGACGACGGTGCCGACGGCATCCCCCACTCCGATCGTTGCCCCTGACTGCCCCCCCCCGCCGCCCCCATCCCCAGACGGCGCGCACGAATGTCCGCGTGCGATTAACAAATCCGTGGGGGCGCGCGTTCTGAAAATTATCCTGGCGAAGGACCCAACTATAAGCAATTGTTCGTAACGCGTTGTGGGTGCCGCTTTCGGTGGGGCTCCCTATGGGGCCACGAAACGCTGCCTTTGGTGTTGGAAACGCATGCGAACTGCGCCAATGGGGCGGGCCTTCGGTGGAGCTCCCTATGGGGCCACGAAACGCTGCCCTGGGCGGGGGAACCGCATGCGAGAGCAGCCACTGGGGCCTTCGGTGGAGCTCCCTATGGGGCCACGAAACGCTGCCCTGGGTGGGGGAACCGCATGCGAAGAGCGCCACGGGGGCCTTCGGTGGAGCTCCCTATGGGGCCACGAAACACTGCCCTGGGTTGGGGAAACGCATGCGAGAGCAGCCACTGGGGCCTTCGGTAGGGTTCCCTATGGGGCCGGGAAACGCTGCCCAGGGTGGGGGAAACGCATGCGAGAGCAGCCATTGGGGCCTTCGGTGGAGCTCCCTATGGGGCCACGAAACACTGCCCACGGTGGGGGGAACGCATGCGAGAGCAGCCATTGGGGCCTCCGGTGGAGCTCCTTATGGGGCCACGAAACGCTGCCCAGGGCGGGGGAAACGCATGCGAGAGCAGCCTCTGGGGCCTGCGGTGGAGCTCCCTATGGGGCCACGAAACGCTGCCCAGGGCGTGGGAAACGCATGCGAGAGCAGCCACTGGGGCCTTCGGTGGAGCTCTCCATGGGGCCACGAAACGCTGCCCAGGGTGTTGGAAACGCATGCGAGACCAGCCATTGGGGCCTTCGGTGGAGCTCTTTGTGGGGCCACGAAACGTTGCCCAGGGCGGGGGGGACGCATGCGAGAGTTGCCACTGGGGTCTTCGGCGGAGCTCCCTATGGGGCTGCGAAACGCTGCCCACGGTGGGGGGAACGCATGCGAGAGCAGCCACTGGGGCCTCCGGTGGAACCCCCTATGGGGCCACGAAACGCTGCCCTGGGTAGGGGAAACGCATGCAAGAGCAGCCACTGGGGCCTTCGGTGGAGCTCCCTATCGGGCCGCGAAACGCTGCCCAGGGTGAGAAACGCATGCGAGAGCAGCCACTGGGGCCTTCGGTGGAGCTCCCTATGGGGCCACGAAACGCTGCCCTGGGCGGGGGAAACGCATGCGAGAGCAGCCACTGGGGCCTTCGGTGGGACTCCCTATGGGGCCACGAAACGCTGCCCAGGGTGGGGGAAACGCATGCGAGAGCAGCCACTGGGGCCATTGGTGGAGCTCCCTATGGGGCTACGAAACGTGTGAGAGGTGTGCCGAGAGCAGAGGCAAGGAGGGGGAGGAGGGAGGAGGGGGAGGAGGGAGGAAGGAGGAAGGAGGAGGAACGAGAAGGAAGGTGGGACGCGGGGCGCTGCGTCTTCGAAACGAGGACCCAACACCACAGGATGGTTGGGAACGAGGACGGTAACGGTGACGATGTCGATGATGATGACGAAAATGATGATGGTGATGATGATGACGATGATACGGATAGCCCCTTGCATAATGATGATGGTGATGGTGATGGTGATGATGATGATGATGATGATGATGATGATGATGATGATGATGATGATGCTGATGATGATGATGACGATGATGATGCTGATGAGAGGAGGAGGGAGGGGGCAGCGGGAGGAGGAGGAGTGAACGCGGGGCGCTGTCTCTTCAAAACGAGGACCCAACACCACAGGCGAATCGCGGGGTGGCGCCTGCCAGATTGAAGATCAATTGCGGCGGCGCCCGTGATTAGCGCCGACGCCCAGCCGCCAGCGGGAAGGCGACAGACAGCACAGACTGGGGGAGGGAAGGGGGGCGGGAAGCAAAGGTGGCAGAAGCACGGACCGTGAGCCAGGGCGACACCTGCCCGAAATGAAAAAGAACTGCTGTCGGCGTTCGCCCCCACATTTTCTGTGCTCTTTTCTGTCGAACCGATGCGTTTCCGTTGCACCGGCCGCAGCCAGGGGGGCGCCAGCTGCCTCGCGGGCCCGCGGGCAAAGCGGGCTGGACGAAAGAGGGGCGTGGCCAAGCGGGAATTTGCCCAGCAGCTCACATTGCTGATTTTCGGAGCCCCCTCTGGCGCCGAAAGCGGCCATGCATCGAGGATTAGCCCCTCGGCAGAGCGACCGAAATCAGCTGCGCGCAGCAGGTTCCGCAACCCCCCCTTTCCTTCCCCAGCCCTTCGTCCGACCAAAGCAAGGCGGGCAGTCCTCCTCCCCCCTTGTCGTGGTCTCTGTCATCGTCGACGACGACGACGACCACGACGACGACGACGACGAAGACGACGACGAAGACGAGGACGAGGACGAGGAGGACGAGGACCACGGACAGCGGACGGCAGTCGGCCAGCGACGGCGGCGACGACGACGACGCACTGCGGATGCCCGATGCGGGGGCTGCGCATGCCCGCTGTAGTAGACGACGACGAAGACGACGACGAAGACGACGAAGAAGACGACGAAGAAGACGACGCGACGACAACGACGACGACGACGACGACGACGACGACGACGACGCACTGCGGATGCGATGCCCTAAGGGGGGGGCTGCGCAGGCCCGCTGTAGTAGACGACGACGACGACGACGACGACGACGACGACGACGACGACGACGACGAAGGCGACGAGGACAACGACGAAGACGACGACGACGACGACGACGACGCGACGACGACGACGACGAAGACGAAGAAGACAACGAAGAAGACGACGACGACGACGACGCGACGACGACGACGACGACGACGACGACGACGACGACGACGACGACGACGACGGCGGCGACGGCGGCCGCGGCGACGACGACGACGACGACGACGACGACGACGACGCCTGAGAGGGGGAAAAAATCGCCTCGGATGTGTACGACACCTTAACAACTTCTATATGAAAGGCAATCGCTTTGAGGCTGTCACGCAGGGGGGGGCACGATCCCCTCGGCGGCGCCAGCGACGACCCCCTGGCGCGCGTGATTCAAAAAAAAATGTCGCGCCCCACGGGGTCCATTCATCAGCCCCCGGGGGGGGTAGCCATTCGTGAATCACAAGCTGAAACAAGGGGGCGACGCCGGGAGGACGGCCTCCGGAGGAGGCGCCGGGGGGGGAGGCATCCTTGCAGGCCTTGGGAGGGGGGGCCTCCGCGAAGCCCTCCCAGGCCTCCGCGAGGCCCGCTGGCGAGGAGAAACAGGATCGTGTTGGGAGGAAGGGCTGGGGAGGAGGAAGGGCATGAGCAACAGCAGCTGGATGCAGCGAACCATACCTTCGGCTACCTACGGGTAAGGATACCCTGAGGTCGTGCAGGCGGATTTTGGAAGAAACATGAAAAATACTCAGAAAATGTTTGACAGAAAATCGAAAGTAGTCAAAAAATCGTCCCCATACGATGCTTCACTATTTTTGACTATTCCTCCTGTGGAGGGACACGCCCGACTTCAGGATATCCCCATCTCTCCCAACCCCATCCTCCCAATCCTAGGCTCTCGAGCCCAAAGTCTTGGAGGCCCCCCCGCCGCCCAGCTCCCCCAGCGCACCAGAGGGGACGGCGCGAGGAGCACGGCCTTCTGAGGAGGCGCAGGGGGGGGGAGGTTGCCTGGCAAGCCGACGGGGGGGGGGCCTCCTCGAAGCCCTGCAAGGCCTCTACGAGAGGCCCACTCGGAGGACCCATGCCGCCTGGGGCTCTTGGCCACGGCTGCCGCCCCTCGGCTCGCTCTGGGGCAGCCACGATTCTTGCTCCAGATGCCCCCGGAGACCTCTGGATCTGCCCTGATGCTACATGGCGGGTGCCAGAGACCCTGAACCCAAAAACGTTCTCGCCTCTTAGGGGTGCATCTTGTAGTTCCGCCGCCTTCCGCCAGCCCTCCGCCCGCTTCCGCCAGCGGAGGCGGCCTCGTTTTACTTCCGGCGACCTTCCGCCGCCCCTCCGCCGCCTTCAGCCCAGGAAGAGATGACGGATTTCCCTCGACTTACTTGCATTTACCCTGAATCTACCTATACGACCACCCTTCGGGTGACGAGGAGGTTGGTGGAAGGGGGAGAGAGCAAACTGACGGCAGCTGCGATGGATGATGAAGACGGTGCTGGTGATGCGCCCTCGAGTTGGCGACGACGAGTGGTGACGGTGCTGCGGCCGCCCCCGCAGGTCGATTGGCGAAAAGTGCCGCGCCCCGGGGAGCCCCTGGGCCCTTAGAGGCCCCCGCCTTCTGGAAGCCCCCCCGCCCTCCTTCCCGGGCCGCCCCCCGTCGCGGTCGCCCCCCCCCCTCCGCCCCCCCCGCGCCGCCGACTCTTCCCCCCCCCTTATTCCCCCCCCCCCGCGTGAGGAGGCAAGCGCGGGCCGCCGCAGGCTCCCGCTCGGGCCGCGGGGCGGGGCCGACGAAGGGCGACGCGGGCCCAGGCCGGGCAGGGAGAGCCGGGCCGGAGAGAGCGAGGAGCCGAGGAGCGGGAGGAGAGGGAGAGGGGGGAGCGGGAGAGAGGGGCGTCGACGGGAGGCGACGGGCCGGGCCTGCAGGCGGGAGGGGATGGGGGGGGGCGGGGAGGGGAAGCCGAGCAGGGAGAGCGAGAGCGAGGGGGAGCACACGACCTGGAGTCGGCGATGCCTCGCCGATGGACGGGTGGTGGGCCCCGGTGGCAAGTGCGCACGCTCCTGGGCGGGGTGGGCCAGCAGTCCCCCGCCGGCGACCAGTGGGCGAGATGGGGTCGGCGCGTGCCCCCCGGGAGCGCCTCCTCCCCTGGCGTTCGACCCTGGCAGTTCTCCGCCAACACGCCTCGGGCCTCCGGCGGCCGCCCGGGACGATCCGGGCACCCCAGGGACGCTCTCGGCCGGGCGCGGCCGCTGCACCCCTCCCGAGGCTGGGGAGCCGCCGAGAGAACAAACGAAAACGCCCGAAGACCTCAAGAGCCCCAAACCTGAGCTCATCCCCGCTGAGCCTAGCCCCCCTCCCCCGCATGACGTTGCCCAGCGAACTGCCCTGCTCGCACCCCCCCTCGCCGCCGCCCGAGCCGCCCCTCGTGCGCGCGCGAGAGACGAGACGACCGCCCCGCCCCCGGAGCCCCACCGAACTCGACCCGGATGTTGTCCATGCGCCGGAGCTGCTCTCCGCCTCGCCGCGCGCCCACGAGGGAGAGCACCCAGGGAGGAAGGGAGGGAGGCTGAGGGAGGGAGGGAGGGAGGGAGGAGGATGACGGGAGGGAGGGAGGCTGAGGGAGAAGAGGGAGGGAGGGAGGAGAGGGAGGGAGGAGGCTGAGGGAGGGAGGCTGAGGGAGAGAGGGAGGGAGGGAGGAGGGAGTGGGGAGGGGTCTGAGTCCATGACCATCGAAGAGGATTCAGACTCATCCCTCAGCGAACGTCCGACCGACCGACGAGTAGGAGGAAGAGCTGCTCTCCGCCCGCCCCGCACCGCGGGGACTGCCCTCAGCCTGCCCAGCACCGCGGGGAGAGCCCCAACCAAGACCCCCAGTCGAGGATCCAGCGTCGAGGGGCCGAGGAGGCTTCTCGTCGTTCTCGGCTTCTGGCGACCTTCTCGGGCTCCGCTCGCTCCCCTCATCCCCCCCCCCCTTTCCTCCCCCGCTCTCCCCCTCCCCCTCCTTCTACACCCCCTTCACCCTCCCTCCTCTCCTCCTCCTCCTCCTCCTCCTCCTCCTCCTCCTCCTCCTCCTCCTCCTCCTCCTCCTCCTCCTCCCTCCTCCTCCTCCTCCTCCTCCTCCTCCTCCTCCTCCTCCTCCTCCTCCTCCTGCGCCTCCTCCTCCTCCTCCTCCTCCTCCTCCTCCTCCTCCTCCTCCTCCTCCTCCTCCTTGGGCAGGGGATCACCCCGACCATGATTTTCACAACTTTCGGTCTCCTGCGAGCGCTCTTGGGCCCTGGGACCGTCGAAAATCGATCCAGGGGAAGAGCTTACCAGGATAACCCCAGACAGGGTCCACGGACCAATCTTGAGCGGATTTTGGTCGGGATCCGGAGAAGGGGGAGGGGGGGCGGGAGGATCGAGGTTCTTCCGAGGCGTTTCGATGTTTTGCGCGTCCGCAGGCCTCGTCGATATTTCTGCATCCGCCCCGAAGATCTCCGATCGAACTGCATTAGTAGTAAGCTAACGGCCAGCAGCGGCGCCGCCGTCACAACAGCTGCACGCTGTCGCGCCGCGTCGTGGCTGGCAGCCGGGACTGCTGGGCGAGGGGAAGGGGGAGAGGGAACGAGAAGCGAGAAGACGACGAACGCGCAGGCGGGAGGCCAGGGCCGGCGGGAATCGAAGATCGAAGATCCGGGATCGGGGTCTGGGTCCCGAGGGCGCGGATCGACGAAGCCGCTTCGTCGAGCCTCCGGCCCCCGCACCCTCCAGGGGCTGGCCTTCAGTCGGGCCTGTCCCTCTACAGGGGGGGAAACTCAAAAATAGTCAAAACATGATCAGGGGACTATCATTTGACTATTTTTGAACATGTTTGGTGCATTTTCTGCGTATGTTTAATCCTTCGCCCAAAGTCCCCCTGTAGAGGGGGACAGGCCCCGCGGCTCGGCCCCGGCAGCCGCAGCGGGCCAGGCACGGACCCTCCAGGCCTGGAAAAGAGGGCGGCAGGAGCCTCGAGACGTGCGAGGACTGGCGATTAGGGGGCGACATGCGAACCCTACCCCTACCCCCCACGATTTCCGAGGGGGAGGGTGGGGTTCACTTCGCTCGGGTGCTCCCAGACGAAGTGAACCCCACCCTCCCCCTCGGAAATCGTGGGGGGTAGGGGTAGGGTTCGCGTGTGGCCCCCTGGGACTGGCGATGGCCCTGTGACTCCAGATCCGCTCAAAACAGCTCACCAGAGCCCTCCGGGGGTCCATCCCGGCAGTTCGCCACCGAGGTTCGATATTTGACCGCCCTGGAATTCGAAACAAGCTCATGGATGCCCAAATCAACCAAAAACCTCCGTCGTGGTCTCGTGTTCGACCCTCCTCGCCCCCCTCAAAACTCGACCTGGACCTGTCAATGGACCCGCTCTGACCAGAACTTCGGGGCGGATCCAGCCGTGGCGACGAGGAGGCCCGAGAACGCGCAAAAACAAGACGCATGACGTCGAAGAGCCTCCATCCGAGCCCCCTTCCCTCTGCTTCACAAAGCAGCGTCGATGCAGCCGGGGGCACCGGCATTCCGAGGCATTGCCTTGATGCCCATCCTGTACAGGCTGTGGGCCACATGCCAACTCCCCATTGCCAGGGACTGGGAGGCAGCTCACCCGCAACCCTTCCTCTGCCCACCAGAAGGGTCGCAACGGGGTCCCGACCCAGCCCCGCTCAAGGCCGCTTCCCGGAGCCCTGGGGGGGGGGCCCATCCTGGCCCTGTTTCCTCCCCCGAGCCGCTTTTCGTCGGCCACGGTGCCCAAGCACGGTCGCGGGGGGCCGAAAAGTGATGCACCACCTCCCAGGGGCGATCCCCCTGCGCAAGGAGGAGGAGAAGGAGGAGGAGGAGGAGGAAGAAGAAGAGAAAGAGGGAGGGGGGCAGCAGGAGGAGGGGAAGAAACAACTGGAAGGAATCGAGGGCTCAAGGTTCGAGGGTCAAAGCTCGGGGATCGTTGAGGATCGAGGGTCGAGAATCGAGCATCGATCCTCCCCCCCCCAAGGACGCGGCGTGCCGGTGTGCACTTCTGGGCCGCTCACGGGCAGGTCGGGCGCCACCGCCACGCCCTCTCGCGGGGAGAGGGGCAAGCGGGGCCAGGTCTCGCGCGCGCGGGGCGGAAAGGACCACAGCCAGCCAGCAGGAGAAAGAGTAGGGAACCTCCTCCTCCTCCTCCTCCTCCTCCTCCTCCTCCTCCTCCTCCTCCTCCTCCTCCTCCTCCTCCTCCCTCCTCCTGCGCCTCCTCCTCCTCCTCCTCCTCCTCCTCCTCCTCCTCCTCCTCCTCCTCCTCCCTCCTCCTCCTCTTCCTCCTCCTCCCCTCCTCCTCCTCCTCCTCCTCCTCCTCCTCATCCTCCTCCTCCTCCCCTCCTCCTCCTGCGCCTCCTCCTCCTCCTCCTCCTCCTCCTCCCCCCTCCTCCTCCTCCTCCTCCTCCTCCTCCTCCTCCTCCTCCTCCTCCTCCTCCTCTCCTCCTCCTCCTCCTCCTCCTCCTCCTCCTCCTCCTCCTCCTCCTCCTCCTCCTCCTCGGGCAGGGGACCACCCCGACCAGGATTTTCATCACTTTCGGCCTCCTGCGAGCGCTCTTGGGCCCTGGGACAGTCGAAAACCGATCCGGGGGTGAAGAGCTTACCAGGATGACCTCAGGAAGGGTCCACGGACCAGTCTTGAGCGGATTTCGGTCGGGACCCGGAGAAGGGGGAGGGGGGCGGGAGTGTCCAGGTTCTTCTAAGTTGTTTCGATGTTTTGCGCGTCCGCAGGCCTCGTCGATATGGCTGGATCCGCCCCGAAATTCGGATAAGATCTCCGATCGAATTGCATCAGTAGAAAGCTAATGGCCAGCAGAGGTGCCGCCATCACAACAGCTGCACGCTGTCGCGCCGCGTCGTGACTGGCAGCCTTTGCTGCTGGGCGACGAAGAGGGGGAGAGGAAACGAGAAGCAAACAGACGATGAACCCAACCGGCCAGCAGGAAAGAGTAGGGAACCTCCTCTCCCCCTCCTCAGCCTTCTACTCCTCCTCCTCCTCCTCCTCCTCCTCCTCCTCCTCCTCCTCCTCCTCCTCCTCCTCCTCCTGCTGCTCCTCCCTCCTCCTCCTCCTCCTCCTCCTCCTCCTCCTCCTGCTCCTCCTCCTCCTGCTCCTGCTCCTCCTGCTCCTCCTCCTCCTCCTGCGCTCCTCCTCCTCCTCCTCCTCCTCCTCCTCTCTCCTCCTCCTCCTCCTCCTCCTCCTCCTCACTCCTCCTCCTCCCTCCTCCTCCTCCTCCTCCTCCTCCTCCTCCTCCTCCTCCTCCTCCTCCTCCGGCGTTTCCTCTGGTTTTTTCCCCATATCCTACGATGGGGTTCTTGTTATTACTTGGACGCCCCCTACTCCTCATCATTCTTCTCCTTCTCCTCCCCTCTCCTCCTCATACCCAGACTTACTCATACACAGACTGACTCACACTCAGACTTACTCAGACCCAGACTTACTCACACACAAAATTGCTCTTACTCAGACCTACTCATACTCAGACCTACTCCTACTCAGACTTACTCATGGTGAGACTCACGCACGCCCCGTTCGCGGCCGTTTTGTGGGGATGCCTCAAGCGGTTTGCTTGTTTTCTGTCCCAACATCCTTGGCTACCAGAACAGATTGTAAGGATGTCTCAGGCGGGGCGCTGGTTTCAGCTCCCCCTGAGGGGAGCCGCCAGGGGTTATCTAACGGTCCCGTTCGCGGCCGTTTTGTGGGGATGTCTCAAGCGGTTTGCATGTGTTCTGTCCCAACATCCTTCGCTTTCGGAGCAGAGCAGATTTGGAGGATGTCTCGAGTGAGGCACTCATTGTCACCCCCCTAAGGGGAGCCGCCAGGGGTTATCTCACGGTCCCGTTCGCGGCCGTTTTGTGGGGATGTCTCAAGCGGTTTGATTGTTTTCTGCCCCAACATCCTTCGCTTTCGGATCAGATTTGGAGGATGTCTCGAGCGAGGCGCTCGAGCCGCCAGGAGTTATCTAACGGTCCCGTTCGCGGCCGTTTTGTGGGGATGTCTCAAGCGGTTTGCCTGGTTTCTGTCCCAACATCCTTCGCTTTCGGAGCAGATTTGGAGGATGTCTCGAGCGAGGCGCTCATTTTCACCCCCCTAAGGGGAGCCGCCAGGGGTTATCTAACGGTCCCGTTCGCGGCCGTTTTGTGGGGATGTCTCAAGCGGTTTGCCTGTTTTCTGTCCCAACATCCTTCGCTTTCGGAGCAGATTTGGAGGATGTCTCGCCAGGGGTGGTTGCACGGTCCCGTTCGCGGCCGTTTTGTGGGGATGTCTCAAGCGGTTTGATTGTTTTCTGCCCCAACATCCTTCGCTTTCGGAGCAGATTTGGAGGACGTCTCGAGCGAGGCGCTCATTTTCACCCCCGTAAGGGGAGCCGCCAGGGGTTATCTCACGGTCCCGTTCGCGGCCGTTTTGTGGGGATGTCTCAAGCGGTTTGACTTTTTTCTGCCCCAACAGCATTCGCTTTCGGAGCAGATTTGGAGGATGTCTCGAGCGAGGCGCTCATTTTCACCGCCCAGGTGGGCCAGATTTTGAGGATGTCTCGATCGGTGGCCAGACTCGTGGGCACAGATTCTCCTCAGGATGCCACAGGAGGCTCCATCAGGCTCCAGGAGGCCCCAGGAGACCACATGAGGTCCCAGGAGGCATCAGGAGGCCACAGAAAGACTCAAGAGGCCACAGGATGTCCCAAGAGGCTCTAGGAGGCCCCAGGAAGCTCCGGGAGGCCTCAGGAAGCCACAAGAGGCCCCAGGAGGCCAGCGGAAGCGCCAGGAGGTCTCGGAAGGCAACAGGAGGCCCCGAGAGGCCCCAGGAGCAGGAGGCCTCAGAAGGCAACATGAGTGGCCACAATCCCATGTGTTTTACGTATGCTCCTATAGATTGGGCCTCACCTGGAGCACGAATCCTTGATGTTATACGTATGTTTCTATAGATTGTCCTTCTCCTGTGTACTTGTGTTCCTATAGGGCCTCTTCTGGGGCACGAGTCCTTGGTGTTTTACGTGTGTTCCTATAGATTGCCCCCTTCTCCTGCGGCTGCAATCCGCAATGTTTTCTGTGGTCCCAGGAGGCCCCAGGAGGCCCCAAGAGGCCCCTGGAGGCCCCAGGAAGCCCCAGTAGGTTTCAGGAGGCCCCAGGAGGCCCCAGGAGGACCCAGGCTCATGCGCAGAGACGCGCTCGTACTACTGAGACTCATTCACACTCCAATTCATTCTCAGTTAGATTCATGACCAGACCGTCACAACTGAAGCCCGCTTATATTCGAAAGCTCTTGCGCCTAGACATTCACGGCGGACAGGTCCATGCGAATAGATGCACATATGGGGAGCTCCACGCAGTGAATAATGAACTGGTGCCGGCGCAACCGCCCCAGCGCTTCGCACCGGCCCCCGAGGAACAGCTGTTATCTAGCGACTGGCACGGCTCGAAGGCATGGCGGCCAAGCAGCACCATAGATTGGACACAGAGGAGCTGGACGAGCATCGACCACGAGGTGCAGGCGGCCTCGAGCCGCAGTCGCCCGCAGCGCAGCGCCGCCGCGCCGCCAGCCCCGCCCCCGGCTGCGCTCGCTGCCCGGCCGCGCAGCGCGCCCGCGCGCCGGGCGAGCAGCAGCCCGGCGGGCCCAGCGCCTCTGGCCCAGCCAGGCGAGGCGCGCGCTCCGCCGCCGCCTTCGGCGTGCCCGGCGCCCTCGGCCGCTGCTTCCCCGCCGGCGCGGCCGGCCAGGGCGGCCCGGCGCAAGAGGAGCGCCGGCTGCTCGGCAAGCGGCCCGGCACGCAGCGCGCAGCGGCTTAGCCGCTTAGCCCCCGACCCGAGCTCCGCGTGTAGCGCCGACGGCCCAACCCTCCTCCTCCTCCTCCTCCTCCTCCACCACCGCCTCCTCCGCCAACTCCTCCTCTTCTACCTCCTCCTCTTCCTCCTCTTCCTCCTCTTCCTCCTTCTCCATCATCATCATCATCATCATCATCATCATCATCATCATCATCATCATCATCATCAGTATTATCATCATCAGCAGCAGCAGCAGCATCAGCATCATCATCGGCATCAGCATCAGCACCAGCATCAGCATCAGCATCATCATCAGCAGCATCATCATCAGCAGCATCATCATCATCATGTGCATCATCATTAGTATCAGCATCAACAGCACCATCATCATCAGCAGCATCCTCTTCCTCTTCCTCTTCCTCTCCCTCTTCCTCTTCCATTCCCTTTCCGCTTTAAAGAAAAAACCTCCCTGTCGCACTCCGAGACGTGTCGGTAGGGCGGGTCGGGCGTTTCGCTGGAGACCTTCTCCGCATTGGTGATCGTCGAACTAAGAAGTTACAGCAGCTTCACGGATAGAGGGCGGTTCGTTTTCGAAACATTGGTCTCGCCTTTGCGCCTCGCACATTCGCTGCAAAAGTTCGCAATGGAGCTTCACGGATTCAGGGCGAGCCGTTTTTTTAATATGGCTATCGTCTGAGCGCATCGCACATTCGTATTAAAAGCTCCCAGAAGAGCTTCACGGATTGAGGGCGGTTCCTTTACAAAATCTGGTCTTCGCCTTACCGCCACGCACATGCGTCTTAAACAATTTGACA